TTTGTCAGTGTTGGCATTTTCAGCTCGGACATTGCACCCATTGCTCTTATTGTTGAGAAACATTTGTGCAATGATTTGCCGTTGAGTTTAGAATCGAAAAATATTTAGTAGTTTACTTGCTTCAGTAGATTTTCTGCTTGGCTCACCAAGCTGTTGAGGGTTGGGACGACTTTAAGAGCTCCATTAATGAAATTCATGTTAGCAGAACTAATGTCACTTGTTTTCTGACGACAATTTCTACCAATGTGGACCGACACAAGTAAATTGTTTTTGTCTGCGTCCTTTAACTTTAAATGTGTCTGAGAATTTCTGTATCACCCCATGGGAGCTCTGATTTAAGCGTAAGTGGTTTTTGATATCTTACAAGTGGAGTATTTGATCTCAGCCCGTAGATTCTCGATCCTCTAAAGATATGTTTGACTCGGACGTGCTATTCGACTATCAGAGCCTGAGTCGATTGTGCGAATGCATGTTAACAGACGGATACTTGTTGTCGAGACAGACATCTCCTTTGGATTAGAAATGTGACGTACACTCGACATAATGCAAAACAGATAAAATAAATAAAATCATCGCCGCTACACTGCGCGTATCCAAAACTAGGGATCGAATGGTGTCCGCAAGTTTAAGTCGAGGGTAAGTATTTAATAATTCGAAAAATTGTCCTTAAGCGACCATTATTATCGCCTGGAAGCAATTTGGCTGCCTGGCTTAACGGTGAGACCAGCCTTTATTCTTTGCCCAGGAACTCTTATCTGGGTTTGTCCGGTCTGTCTGATTTCTGGTTCATTGGACGTAGCTTAGAAAGCGATGCACCCAGCGTATGGAGATAAAAAGCTGTGAATGGCCATCATAGTGGATGTAAGCAATGGGCGCCAGTCTAGTTTACCAGATGACAGAGAGGACGCTGTGGGGTGAAGTTACAAAGATGCGTCTTACCGGGTTGATGCTGATACCTTACACAAGGCTAGGTGTTCCTTGTGTTCGTGATTATTGCTGGCGGGTGCTGAAAGATTTTGCAGCATCATGTCAAGGAGCCTCAGAGACGTCACCTATCTCTTCACAGTCCAAAATGCATATTTAAGAACCCGAAGAATTTGTGAAACATAAATCGGTCTATCCTTGTAAGTGAAAGATAAATGCCCACAGGCTCTACACGCCAGTCAAATTAGAGGAAGTTAATTAGCCACGAGGACGTAGCTTGAGACTGAACTGTTATTAAAACTGTCTCAGTTTACTGACATATTTTAACACACTAAAACAAAACGCTTTTAATATCACTATATTACTCCCGCTCCTGGGAGTCCGAAAGTGCAAAACGAGTGCTATGGATAATGTACAAGTTGGTAACGATTAAGCAGACTGAAACAACGACCACCGCGCATTGGGGGTAGGGGGGGTTCACAGACCTATCCGGTGTAAGCAAAGGCGAGGAGATCACCGGGAACCCCGTGGCGGGTGTGGAAGCTGATCTGGTAGGCGAGCGAAGGACGTTGGGCATGTGTCAACTTCAGGCGGTCGATCGAAACTACCTTGACACGATTATAAGGGGTAATTACGAAATGCTTGTCCTTTCGCGATGGGGCTCGAAATGGTACATTGTAGGGTCGTTGTAGTAGCCTACGAAAATTACCTACGCGGAGAAATACAAAAGAATACGTTAGTAGGTTAGAGTCAGTATGCGACTTGTTTTCTTGAGCATTGGAAGGTATGGTTCCGAAATTAGTCACTGCTTTGCGAGACTTTTGTAGGTAAACAGCGGTGTCCAGGTCGGCTAGACTTTGACGCGGCTCGAAAAAATCGCTTGAAATCAGTAGGGTAGTGTCGTAAACGGTCTCAGCAGCGGAGCGCTTCAAGTCAGGTTTGAGTGCGGCGAGGATACTGGACAATACGAAGGGCAGATACTCACTCCACTGAGTGGGTCTGTCATAGCTCTGGAGAGAGGTTTCGAATTGGCGGTGGAAACGCTCAACTAAACCGTTTAGTGGGGGATGGTAGGCTGTCGTGAGTTTGCGAAAACATCGGGGAAGCTGGGTTAGGCCATTTTTTCGATCCCATGGAGGTTTTTCGGTAAGATCTCAGTTCGTAGCCCGGAATGGGGAAGCTAACCTAATAATAAAACCCCAACTCTAAGCGTAAAACCCTGACCAAAACACCAACCCTAAAACCTAACCCTAACCTTGACACTAAAACGTAACCATAAAATCCTAAACCTAACCCTAAGCCCTAGCTCTAACGTTAACCCTCAACCTAACCCTAAACACCAGCCCTAGCCTTAACTCTAGGTCCTAACCCTAAAATCTAGCCCTAACCCTACCCATAAACTGAACCCTACACTTAGCCCAAAAGCCCTAACACTAACCCAAAAATCCTAACCCTATCCCTAAACCCCAGCACTAACATTAACCCTAAAACCTAACCCTAGCCTTAACCCTAAACACCGGCCTTAGTCCTAAAACCTAACCCAAAACATAACCCTAAAACCTAACGCTGAAGCCATAACCCTAAAAAAATCCTACCCCAAACCCCAAACCGTAACCCTAGTCTTAACCCTTAAAACTAACGCTAACGTTAACCCTAAACCCTACACCCAACAATAACCCTAAAACCTAATTTTAAAACCCTAACCCCAACCCCAAAACTTGATCCTAAGCCCAACTTTAACCAACACTAAGCCCAACAACCTGACCGAAACAGGCGAACTGCCTAGCTCAGTAGAAACACACCTATTGATAACAAGTTTCCTCGGTAAGGGTCAGATCGTCGACAGTATCAACTCACAATGTCTGGCTACGAACTGCGATCATACCGGTTTTTCCTTATCACATTACCACCTGTTCAACAGCAGCGTATCAGTTTGACCGTCTTTGCCGACGATGACCACCATGCGCCCCACAGCAGGCTGAGAGCAGGGGCAAAGACTTGCGCATGAATTGGTTTAAAGTGACAGTAAACTTGGACGGCATTTACCGCACTCTCCCCTCCTCCCCCATCTAGGCTCCGCTTCAAGACGTATTAAAGAAGGCCGGAAATGAGAGAGGACACAGGCGACAGGTAACTAGGCATACCACTACACCCCCCTGGTTTAAAACGTACACTGACAAAAATTTTACCCAACAAGAAGGAAGGGGGACGGCCCGGATCCCACTAGGTAGGAGTACAGTAGAGGCCGTGTTAAGATCGAGCCATTGCGGTCTGACTGTTAGTCTGCCAGTCGGCTACTTTTCATAAACACACACTGGACTGACTACAGGGTCCGGGTTATCCCGTCGGTTGACAACCTCCAACGCCACGGCCTTTAGCGCCACTTGATAGATTGGAGCGCGTCGAATTGTTTATAGTAAGGAAAACACATTGAGACAAAGACTTCATTCTCTTCCCATTCCCAGGTATCAACCACTGTCCGGTCCGGTCAGTTGTCCAACGCGGGGAATGGATGCAGTGACTGACATAGCTAATGACCTTGTCTGCGCGTGCCACATACACCATCTGGCCCCCAAACACAAGCGCCAGAATTTTACGAAAAAGTGAGTGGGCGGCATGCATCTCACGTGCCAGAGGTCACGGTAAGAGGGAGACATCGAAACCTGACTCTTAATCAACCGGTGGTCGACTCCGCACAAACTCACATTGGACTGACTGCAAGGTCTGAGTATCACCGTCAGCTGCAAACCTCGCAAGCCACGACCCTTAGTACACAGAGGTAGAGTCATGCTCAAATCACACATGGAGCAGAGAAGCCACGTGGGGAAGGTGTCGAGTAACACACTTTATACTTACATGAGAGGAACAAATTAAGTGCTTGCGTTGTGTGATATTGGGTGTTTTCATGCGTGAGGACGGATGCGGTGGTATGGTATATGCGACGGTGTTTTACTACGGCTTTTCGTGGTGCCGCATGTTGCCAAATAGGCCCACGCGATGACCGAATGTGCGAGGGCAGTGCGGACCATTGAGGCGATGACGTCTGGTGCATGTCGGTGCTCTAGGCAAGTGACCGACCAGGTTGATGCGCAAGACGGGCGTGTGGTGGCAGTGTAAGAAGGATGGGTTGGGGTGTTTGATCAGTTTTCGTTGTGATGATACCAGGAGTGTGCGCGCTGGTCAATGAAAATTTGCTTGGGCTGGAGATGGGAAGGATGGTTGATTTGTAAGTAATGTTAAATGTGTCGATACTGCGGAAAATTCCATTGTTGTCGATACGCCTGAGACTGAAGAGGCCCATGTGGCGTATGAATGCGCGTGGACGGTGTGGATAGTGTAGGCGGGGACGGCGAATGTATGTGGGGGCTCCTAACACTGGCGCACTGGTCGCAATGTGACGGATTCACAAGTAACCGATTAGGTTGACGAGTGAGACGAACGTTTGATGGCAATAGAGACAGGTTAGGACCGAGGCCACATTGCTCGAGATGAGGTGATAATGATGGGGGTGGTAGTTGGCGGGTCGTCGAGAGAGTTTTGCTCGGTGGTAGAAATGGAAGCTCCGCTGGTCGCCGTCGTCACGGAGGTTGTGACAGTGATGGTGTAGATGACAGTGACCGACGGAGGCGGCGCACGAGGATGTCGAGCGTCGACGGTGAGGGCAATTGTGGCAGTTCGCGTCTCCTCACCCTCCGCCTTTGTCACGCTGCCGTCCTGTCCGCCTCACACTCCGTGTCGATACGCTGCTGGGACGCGCGAGTGCTCGAAGCCAGTCAACGCTGTCCCCACTCTGATTGGCTGGCGACGTGGAGACAACGATGGGCGCACACAGGCGCTGACAACACCTCGAAGGCGGACAAAGACAACAGCTTGCTTGGGACGAGCTCGCGGCGACTGCCTACAGAGCCCTTGTGTACGCACTTCCTCAGGCAGTGAAGGTTGTCCAACTCAAGCCGTCTTCCCTGACTTTTGATTGGGAATCTTTATCTTGTCGATCACACAACATTCGACAATTGGCGACCCCTTTGCAAACAGCAATATTTCTTCCTAATCTACGGTAAAGCCAGGCGTTGATCATGGACAAATTTCCACCGGAAGTGCAGCATATTTTGGCACCCGCCTCCGACATTCTTTCGGCAACGCAACTTACTCAGATGGCTGATCGTATTATGGAGATGCACGGTTTTTCCAAGCTGTCACTTTCAGCACTCTCAACTCCCTCAACTCATCCTACGTCTCTCCTTTCACAGTTGGAGATCGAGCTCAGCAGGCTGGCCGCTGATATAGCTTCACTCCAGAAGCAGACAGTCTCCCCCTCATTTCGGAGCCAGCCGAAGCCTTCCACCCCGCATCTCCAGTCTTCACATTCAGCCCGTCCAAATGCAGCTGCCATCTGCTGGTACCACACCACCTTTGGTGTTAAAGCCCGTCGCTGCATCTCGCCCTGCTCCTTCACCTCCAAGCAGAGCAAACGGGTAAAACCGATCAACCCGAACGTCAGTGCAGCCAATCTTTTCGACAGCTCTAACTCTGGTCGCACCTTCTATGTTTGTGAAACTGCGACTCGCAGACGTTTCCTGGTGGACACTGGAGCCCAAATCAGCGTTGTTCCCCTCACTGCAGCTGATCGTCGTTCCCCTAGCCCTGGTCTTCACCTCCAAGCTGTTAACTGTTCCCCAATTCCCACTTTTGCCAGTCTATCCCTCACTCTGAACATTGGCCTTCGTCGGTCATTAACTTAGATCTTTGTGATTGCTGACGTCCCTCATCCAATCCTCGACTCGGACTTTCTTGCCGAGTTTGATCTCCTTGTTGACTGTCGACGTGCCCGTCTCCTCGACCGCACAACCGGTCTGTTCGTTCGTGGACTAAGTCGCTTTACTGCCCCCACCAACTTATCTGTTTTGGATACGGATATTGCTAGTCCTTTTCGGCAACTGCTGCTTAGCCACCCCAACATAATTAACCCCCAGTTTCGCAGTGGTGAGGTTCAACATGATGTTGTGCACCATATCCGCACTTCAGGTCCTCCCGTCTTTGCTCGACCGAGACGACTAGCACCGGAGCGTTTTCAGGCCGCGAAAGCGGAGTTTGGACACATGGTGCAACCGGGAATAATTCGACCGTCCGACAGCCCTTGGGCGTCCCCACTGCACATGGTGCCCAAGGCGACATCAGGCGACCCTGTGGCGACTATTGAGCCCTCAACAGCGCTACCATTCCTGATCGGTACCCCGTGCCTCATCTTCAGGACTTTGCTGGAGTCCTTTTCGGCAAAGCAGTTTTCTCGAGGATTGATCTGGTGCGTGCTTTTCATCAGATTCCAGTCGCGCCTGAGGACATCCCTAAAACCGCCGTCACCACACCCTTCGGTCTCTTTGAGTTCGTCCGCATGCCGTCTGGTCTACGTAATGCCGCCCAAACGTTCCAGAGGTTCATCGACCATGTCTTACTTGGCCTGCCCTTTGTGTATGCCTACATTGATGACCTCTTGGTGGCCAGCCGAAATGAAGAAGAACACAAACAGCATCTTGTCTTGCTATTTGATTGTCTTGACAAGTTTGGCGTTGTCATCAACCCCTCCAAGTGCGTGTTGGGTGTGCCTTCACTCGAGTTCCTCGGCCGTCAGGTCGACTCTGAAGGTTTGCATCCCCTCCCCTCCAAGGTTGAAGCAGTTCGTAATTTCCTCCTTCAACTTCCAAGCGTCAGTTACAGCGATTCTTCGGCATGGTCAATTTTTACGGTCGGTTCCTACCGAACTGTGCTGACCTCATGCTGCCGTTCACCAACATGCTTTCTGATCCCAAAGGTTCTCTCGAGCAGACTGGTGAAGCACTGACTGCTTTTGAGAGAATCAAGAATTCCCTTGCCGATGCCACCTTACTCACACATCCCGCTCCCGAAGCTCAGCTGTCTCTGATGGTAGATGCCTCGACCGTAGCCGTAGGTGCAATCCTTCAACAACACCTTGCTGGTTCGACTCAACCACTTGCCTTTTTCTCCAAAAAGCTCTTACCAGCCGAGACACGCTACAGCACCTTTGGCCGTGAACTACTTGCCATTTACCTGGCTGTAAAACATTTCCGACATTTCCTTGAAGGTCGTGACTTCACTGTTTTCACTGACCACAAACCGTTGACTTTTGCACTTCGTTCCTACTCCGACAAGTACAATCCGATGGTTTTGGTGGGATCTTCACTTTCCAGTGAAAGCCCTATTGTAAGTGGTGTCCTACACAGCACCGTTTTAGGTCCTCTTTTGTTCTTGCTTTACATTAATGATATTTCGGCAGCAGTTAAACATTCTCAACCATTTATTTATGCTGATGATCTCAAATGTGTACATTCTTTCAAAAAATCTACGAGCCTTCGTTGCCTGGAGCAAATTCACGCTGACTTACTTGCTCTCTCAGCTTGGAGCTCAAAATAGCTAATGGAATTCTCTCCGTCTAAATGTCGCTATATGTGTTTTGGGCCTGATAGGCTACCCCAACCAGTGGTCTTTCAAGGCACACCTATGACTGAATGTACCACCATCAAGGATTTAGGTTTAAGCTTCACTAGTAATCTTGATCTCTCGCCACATGCTGACAGAATTACAGCAAAAGCAGCCCAGATTTGTGGCTTTATTTCTTGCAATTTCTATCTTCCTGTAATTAAATTAAGGCTCTATCGTATATTTGTACTTGCCATTCTCGAGTATTGTTGCCCGTTCGTTGGTTTGATGAACGAGGCCTAGTTGCTCAAAAATTGAAAATGTCCAAAGACGTTTTTCTAAAAAACTTTTAGATAAGGAACATCCCAATATCTCCTACTCAGATAGATGCCAGCTAAATAACCCAAAATTTTATGCGTTCAAAGGCTAGACGCAGGCGTCTGTCTCCTCTTTCGCATTAACAATAGTTCAAATCTTCCTCGGATTTCAGCCCTTACCCCTAGTAGTCGCCTGTACAATCTTCGCAGCTCTTCCCTGATTATACCTCCTCTCGCTTCCTCCACGTCTAAGTGCTCTCCATTTCGCTTCCAGATATACTTTCCTCTGGAATAGCCTTCCAATAAATATAAGAGCTTTAGATAATCTACACATTTTTAAGAGATGGCTGCGCCTTTATCTGAATACTGACTCGAGTAAACTTTTATTTTCCTCATCCTTGCCGGACAACATTCTCTATGACACCGAGAAAGGGCCGCCAGGAATTTACGACGCCGCCAATAACTTCCCGTATCTGCCACATTTCCTTCTTTTATGTGTTGTACCGCTTCCTAGGATCCCTCATCTGAAATTTTGTATTTTTATATTTTTCGGTTCATGCATCGTGCCCCTCACAGAATGCGCTGCATCAACGCTCTTTGCGGAACCCTCTGTATTCGCCATATACTAGTAGTCTGGTCGCATCTCACTTGCCCCCTTCCAGGGCTGGATCCGACTGATCGTATCAGGGCTTCTATCGCATCAGGATTAGTTTTCTATTCGCCACTTCGACATAAATGGTCCTATTTGACATGAGAATTCTGAGTTGATGATGCTTGTTTCGAGCCTTTTAGTCAATACCACTTAAAGGCCAGTCCTGCATGACCCGCCTACTTTCCCCTTTATGAAATTCTTTATAAATTACCCCATACAGGCCAGTCCTGCCTGCTTTCTATAAATTCAGGAGTGACAGTTTTTTGATCCTTTTGTATTTATCAATTTATACTCGCTTTTATTCATATGTTAAGAGTTTTTTCACTGCTCGATGATCATTTTCTTAACATACTACTTATTTAATATTTATTAATTAAGGCTCAGATTTATTGCTACCCTGACGATGACCGACAACATTCCGTTATATACCGCCAGCTACAAGCCAGTCCTGCTCGCTTTTTCTGCCATTATTTTTATTGAGGGGTTTTTTTCTCCGGTAAAATTAATCCAATCATTTTTAACTTTTTGTAAGGAGTTTTTTTTCACCCCTCAATCATCATGTTTCTCAATGGACTACTAATTCAGAAACTACGAATTGCACTTGGTAAAGATTCGGCCTACCTCCTCTAAAACTCGCATGTAAATTTATTTTAACTTGCTTTGATTGGACCCCGACGGGTCTTTAATAAAAAATTATTTATTCGAAAGAAATAAGCTCTTTGGGAAAGATTAACAAGTTTTATTGTAAATTTTCGATCTTGGTTCCCCAAGTCGTCTTCAGACGTGGAGTAAGTGTGCAAGACAGTCAACATTTAAACATGCCAAAAAAATCGATTTTGCCTTGTCATTCCTGCTGGTGTATTGTTCTGATTGGCTAATGCCTTTTCCACTTTTGAGGAGAATGAATTGCTCACCGGATCGGGGGACTTTTCTGGCTGACGTTTCGAAGAGCTGGGGCTGCTCTCCATTGTCAAAGCGTCAAGCCAGAAAAGTCCTCCGATCCGGTGAGCAATTCATTCTCCTCAGATTACCGACCCGGATCTCTTACTTTCGCTTTTCCACTTTTCCTTGAGGCTGTTGTACACCGTATCCAATTCTACGTGTCGATTGATGCATGCGTTATCAGAATGGATGGCCTCTAAAAATTCACGGCCCTTTTTAGATGAGCAGACACCTACAATGCGGGTCCTGTCCCAGGCGAATTTGTGTCCAGTTTCCAACGTATGCATGGCAACTTGGGACAAGTAGTCTCGCCTTTTTACGGCCAACTGATGTTTGTGTATTCGTGTAGAGGCCGATTTCCCGGTTCGACCACAGTAAACCGCATTACAGGTGTTGCATGGTATTTTATAGACGACTTCCTTCTTATCTAAATAGCCAACC